CCCCAAAGCCCCAGTAGATAGTCATATGTCATAGTTGCACATCCTTCTAGTTGCTGCATGTGGGACGCAGCCCCAGCACGGCCAGAGAAGCGGTGCGTTGGTGCGCGCCCGGGATCCGAACCCGGGCCGCCAGCAGCAGAGCGCACGCACTTAACCGCTAAGCCATGGGGCCGCCCCTCATTCTTTCTTATTCAATAATAAATACCTTTGAAGTTATGGATTTGTCTTCAACACACTCAATAAATTTTTTTATGCATTGTTCTAATTATTAGTATTTTCTAAGTAGTTTATGTAATATTTTTATTTCCTCAAAATAAGTTAATAAAGTTTAAAATTTTTCAAGTCATTTGGTTTATTTTGCCTACTCTTTTGTTATTAAATCCTTGTTTTATTGCATCATGGTAAAAAATGTGGCCCAACTAGTTCTACTTTTAGGGAAGTTATTGTGGTTTTCTTAGAAGTCTAGTGTGGGGTTGATTTTTTGTAGATATTCCATCCCTCAAAGACAGAGAGAATTGGAGAAGACTTTCTCACTACAAGTGAGGTTTTTCAATTTCTCTTGTATTACTGGTTGATTTTGCTTCATATGTTTGATGTTATGTTATTGATGAATAGAACTTTATGATGTTACATAGTTATTGCAATTTTTATCTTTTTTCAACATAAAATAACTTTTTTTTTCCTGTTTAAAGCTTTTGTCCTGAATCACATTCTTAGAGATTAACATTGTCCTCTCTATTTTTGCTTGCATATATTTAATATATTTTGGCCCATCTTTTATCTTTCAACTGCTTCATGTCATTTTGTTTTAGGTGGGTCTCAAGTAGCATGTGAGTGGATTTTTTTTTTCTACCCAATACAGTCATGTGTTGCTTAATGATGGGGACATGTTCTGAGAAGGGCATCGTTAGAGGATTTCATTGTTGTGCGAACATCGTAGAGTGTACTTACACAAACCTAGATAGTGTAGCCTACTACACACCTAGGCTATATGGTACTAATCTTATGGGACCGCCATCACATATGCAGTCTGTTGTAGACCAAAACATCATTATATGGTGCGTGACTGTGTAAGAATTGTTGACATTTAAAAGTAGGGTTTTTTTGTATTCACAGTGGTGGTGGTAATGGATATGGTCTTTATTCAATTATCTTGTTTTGTTTTATTGATTGATTGTTTCCCCCAGCGTATTATTTTCCACAAAGACAGAAGAGTAGACAGGGTTTTTCTTCTCTGGATTTTCTTTCTTCTCTCTCTCTTTTTCTTCTTCTTTCCCCCTAGAGGAAATCTAATTATAAGGATAATCTTCCTTGATTTTCTGCCATATATCCCTAAAAATGGTTTGCTTTGCCCATTTTTCAGTTGCATACAGTATGTACCTTTTGTGTCTGACTTCTTTTACTCAACAATATGTTGATGAGATTCACCATGTTGTTACATGTTGTGGTCCATTTTCATTGCTGTTGAGTATTCTGTGCACCCATCATGTCTCTGATGGCAGTTGGGTAGCTTCCAGCTGGGGCTCTACCCAACAGTGCCGCTGTCAAAAATCTTGCATGTCTTTCCTGCTGCCTATGTGCATGACTGTTTCTAGGGCTCACAACCAGGGCGGGGAACTGCAGATTGTGGGGTAGGCACATTTTCTGCTTTACTAAATGATTCCAAACAGTCTTCCACAGCGATGGCCCCAGTCCATCTCCCCCAGCAGTGTGTGAGCAACCTCACTACCCCAAGTACTTGACAACACTGGCAACAGGGTGGAGCAGGAGTGAACCATCCTCATGGACAGTGTGAGGAGCATGGGTTCCTTGGGGAGGGGACCTCGGTGGAGTGGGCAGGAGGGATCGCAAGATGTCATTTATTTTGCTGATTCATGAAGACCCAGGCCTGCAAGCTGCATCCTCTCAGGAAGCCACCTTCCCAGGCCCAAAACACCTGGCCTCCCTATACCCAGGAGCCGTTCTCTTGAAAATGCAGAACCTATGGGAAAAAGGAAAACTCCAGTTCCAGCTCGGTCACCTACAGCAGGAACTAGCCACCCCACTATTAGTGCCTCAGTTTCCACACTCCCAGGGGGCCCATGAGAAGGGCTTCATAAAGGAGCTTGGACTAGGCACTAGGGGTGCCTCACAGGCCAGGCACCAGGCACTGTCACAAGCTAGATACCTGGTGCTGTCACAGGCTCAGGGTTGGGCACCAGGAGCACAATTCCAGGGAGGTACCTGGCAGCAGCAGCATGTTGTGGACCTGGCGGGGCCTTGCCATGACCACACTGCCTCCTTCTCAGCATCTTGCCGCTGCCCCAGCTGAGTGAGTCCGCAACCCTGGGGCAGAGGCCTACTCCCTGCTGCCTTGAATAAACAAACTATGAGTTCTAGAATTCTCACACAGCGGAGATGCCCTGCCCCACCCTGCCCCCACATCTCATTATTAAGACCAGTGAGGGCTGGGCACCTGCTTGCCATGGCATGTGGGCCAGGAGATCTTCAGGGCCTCGTGCCTCCATTGTCTTCCGCCAGACTTGGGAATCACCTCTATGTCCAAGGTAGGGCTTTGGGGACATGGGAGAGAGGCAGGAGGGGTCGTTTTGCCGGGGTGCCTGTGTCAGCTGTCCTCATGCCTGAAGGGTCTCCTTTTGTCCATATCCTGATGGGCAGGTCCTCACCAGACTGCATGGTGTGCCAAGCCTGGGGACCCACACAGTATCAAGGCCATTCCAGTTTGCAGGGTGACCGTGAACACGAGGGAAGAGCCTTATTGAAAATTGGGGAACACACATTAACATCAGTAGGACAGATGAGCTTGTTTGGGAGGCACAGTCCAGGAGAACCAGGACCTGTGAGGATGACGATGTGATGTGTGAGTGACAGCTCTCCCTACTTAAGGCACCATGCAGATGACTTCACGTCTCAACACGCTGTGAGGTGGGCTTTACCAGTGTCCCCATTTCACAATAGGAGACCAAGGCCCAGAGAACTTAAGTGGCTTGTGGAGCCAGGATTCAATACCAGTTTTCAATAAACTCTTTGGGGGGTGAAAAGTTTGGGGCCCCATGTGACAGAAAGTCTCTGGGCTCCCACCCTTACCAACCACATGTAGTCTTTGTGGTGGCAGCCCTGGCTTGGGTCACCTGCCAGCTGCCCATTCTGCTGCTTGGCAGAAAACATGCTGGTCTGGCATCTGTAAGTAGAAATGTGTCCTCCAACTCAGAGACTTTGTCCTTTTCCCTGAGTGACTCTGCTTCCCAGACCAGCATGTTGTTGAGTGAGGGGGTGAGTGAGTGCCTGCCTACCCTGCGCTGCCCTCAGACATCTGTGCCGTTTGGGGCTGGTGAAGATGCGCTGTGCTCCACGTAGCTGACTGCTGTGCCTATGGTGATGGGGTGGGGCTGGGCCTCTGACCTTATAGGGACAGAGGTCATGAGCCAAGACATGTCTTCCCATCACCACGCGTGAGGGAGGCCGGTGACATCAGAGTATGGCCTGTAAGTGGGAGTGCTCTGACTCTGAGACTCCAAGAAGGGGTATAGGCGGTCTGCAGTGGAATCCGTTTGAGTCACTGAGTGTCCCCTGTGTATGGAATAGTGATGCTGTGCCTATGACAAGGTTGATCTGCAACACCTCACACCCCCAAATAATCCATCATGGCTTCCCCCAGATTCAGCTGCTGTATTTCATGCTGGCACCTAGTGCTGGCATCTCCAGGCTGAATCCTGCACATCCTGCCAAAGGTTTTGGGGAAGGAGGTTGGAGTCAATGTTGTCCTGGATGTGAGTTCTGAGGAGTGCTGTTCTCTGAGCTTGGGGAACCCACTGAGAGTGTGGAGCACAGAGGCGATGCCCCACCCTGCCCCCTAGGTCACTTTTTAAGTGGTAACATTCTTTCTGCAGGACCCTGGCTCTGCAGGGCCTCAGCTTTGTGGGAAAGGAAAGGGCAAGCCTCTGGAAGCCCTCTCTTTCCCCTCAAAGTGGAACAGTCTTGCTGGAGGCAGGCTGTAATCTGAAACAACAAAGTAGTCAAGAGAAGGGCCCAAAATGTGGCTCCTTCTTAGGGGAGACAGCAAGCCATTGGACAGGGACATGGGCCAAAATGGAGCTGTGAAAGGGCAAGGCAAGGCTCCAGGGAGACCTGCGGGCTTGTGCGGGTGCCTGTGGATCCCTGTGGGAGGCTGCTGGTTGAGGGTAAAGGTGTCCAGCCATGGAAGTCTGTGGCAAGGGAACCAGCCTTCTAAATCTGGTAGTACCAGAGCCCTGGGACATAATAGAATGAGCCCAAACATCAATGGTTTGTGACCCTCTGAGGGATTTCTATAAGGCCGGACCCAGTACATGTTTCTGCTAATGTGCAGGGGTCACCATATGTTATTAGCCTTGTTTTTTATTGTTGTACCCCCTCCACCATCACCATGGATCCCCCAGGCAGGGACAAGCCTTGGTTACTGCTGCTGAGTCCCTGACGCTCTGCTTGGCACTGGAAACAGAGCTGCTGAGGGAAACAGACTTTCAGGAACCATGCAAGCTTGTGATAGTGTAAACACATGTCCAGTTTTGCATCTATGAGGAGGTCCATGACTGCATGTAACAGCTTGTTGGCCAGCCCAGACTTGACAGCAGGCTATACATAAGAAACCTTTTTATTTGCCTTTATTCTTGGTCTCCAACCTTTGCTGTAGAATTTCTCCCTTTCCTGTCCTCAGTGATGTTCAGTTACTAAAAACCGTCCAAGGTGGTCCAGTTCAACATCTCAATCTCATGTCCAGTTCAGTGTAGTCCTCTCTCCTCCCACTCCTGCTGTCGGGGCCAGTGAGGGTCAAGGAGGGAATTGACAAGCATCTCTACTCACTTCCTTGTGTGGTCACAGAGAGCACACCTCCGGGGTGGTGGTCTATGGAGGCAGGCCCTGGAGTTGTACATTGCAACATCACTGTCCATTGCTTTCTAGCTACAACTGACAAGCAACTCTGTTCACTTGTGCCCCCTCACTTATCCCTTAACTGGCAAGTCCCTCCTCTGATGATTCTCTCTTCTCCTTCTCTCCCCCAGCCATCTGCTTGTGTAAATGAAGGGGAAGGGATGAATCCTGGGGTGATGGCTCGTAAGAAGCCCTGGAGGGGTTGTCTGGTCCCCGTTGTTTGGGGCTCTCACCTGCTGCCTCTGGGCCTTTGGTTGCCATTTTCCGGGCCATGGGAAAAGCCCTTCCCCACATGTGCATGTGGCAGTGGCTGCTTATGATGGCTGGGAGGCGGCTCTCTCTGCCTTGACAGTCTGCTGCGTACAGGGGTCTGGGGAATGCCCTTTGCTGCCTGAGAGTCTGCATGGGGCTAGCATGGCCCCCTTTCTACCTTTTTCTTCAGATTCCTGGTTCCAGGCCTGTGGGCAGACCAACGTTTCCTGCAAGATGGTGAAGGGAAAGCTGGTGGAGGTAGGCAAATGGCCATGGCAGGTTAGCATCCTATTCCTGGGCATCTACATCTGCAGTGGCTCCCTCATCCACCGCCAGTGGGTCCTCACAGCCGCGCACTGCTTACAGAGGTCAGTAAGGGTGGCCAGCCAGGCCCAGGGGTTTTGCTTTCTGGCCTGGGGGGTCCCTGGTGAATCTGGGGATCTAGGAGTAGGGGCCTGGCTGGGTGGCCCTGTACTCAGCCCGTGTCTCTCCAACCATTTATGGCCTCACTGCTGGCAGTCTGCCTCCTACCTATGCCTTGCAGATCCACGGACCCCAAACAGTACTCTGTGAGGGTGGGAGTCCAACGCCTCCCAGAAAATGGCACTCAGCTTGTGGTCACCCGCATCGTGATTCATGAGGATTTCAACAACCTCATATCTCAGGACATTGCCCTCCTGAAGATCAGGGACCCCGTCTTATGGTCCCCCCTCGTCCAGTCTGTCTGCCTACCCAGCAGCAAATTCCAGCCATCTATTGGAACCATGTGCTGGGTGATCGGGTGGGGACTTACAGATACTCAAGGTAAGTGAAGGCAGGCAGGGTTCCCAAGACACTTGCCTCTTCAGAACAGGACTCCACCACGTGCTCATTCGTTCAGCCCTTCATTCACACGTTCACTCTGCCAGCAAACATTTCCTGAGCACCTACACGTGCTGTACACTGTCCTGACCTCTGTTGATAGGAAGATACACACAGTGCTCTAGTGTAAAAGACACACATGGCCTGCAAGGACTTCAGTTCCCAAAGTTAAGTTAAATCCAACGTCAGGCTTCACCTTGCAGCACAGCAGGAAATTAACCCTTGGCTATTAATGGGGTTCCCTGTCTACAGGTGGCACAAAGGCCATGGTTTCAGGAGGTACTGAGGCGTTGGGCAGCCATCATACACACTTGTTACCTTGAGGCATTGATAATTCCAGGAGGTCTGGTCCCTGTTGGTGTCACTCTAGGGTGCTAGAATCTGGGAGCCTTTGTGGAGTCCCGCCTTCCAGGGGGTGGCACACTCTGGCTTCAGGGTCTTTCCACCTTGCCAGGTAGCCACAAAAGCGTTCTCAGCCCCTCCCCCTAAGGAATCTGAATTATTGGGGTAATCTCTCCTTGTCCTCATTCAGTGCCTAGATGTTGCTCTGAGTGCCTTGGAAGACTTTTGCTTAGTCTTTTTAATGAGGTTGGGCTTTTTCAAAAGTCAGGCTGTGGGCTGGGGCCTTTGTAAATCACCATCTCAGGAAATAGCCCTGCCTCCCACGTTAGCAAATGTGGACAACTCCAAGATGGAGATGTGCCACGGAGTTGAAGGGGTGACAAGGCAGGATCTCTTTCTCTTCAGTGACCCCAAAGCCCTCCTACAGTCTTCAGGAGGTGGCTGTCAAGATCATAAACAATAACATCTGCAATCAACGGTACCAGTTCCTCTTCTTAAAGGGCCAGAAGAAGTTCATCGGGAGCGACATGCTGTGTGCCTACTCAGAATGGGGCATGGACTCTTGTCAGGTGTGGAGTGTGTGGACCGGGGCAGGGAGGGGGCTTTCAGGGGTCAGGTTTTCCTTTTCACGTGGCACTGGGAGACCTTATGACAGTCTAGTTTTCCTGGGCTTCAGTTTCCCAGTCTGTAAAATAGGGGTGAACATACTCTTTGTTCCCGTCCACAATGATGGTAATAATGGCAGTACTTCTCAGGTCATTTGAACACTTCTGAACGTCACTGATACGCCCAGATCTGGGCCACGTGCTGATAGAACCAGTTTTTGCATAAATGGCATCATTCTGTAAGCATGCTTCTGCCTCTTGCATCTTCTATTCAACATTGTTTTTGAGATTTATCCATAATGATCCATGCAGCTCTAATCCATTAATTAACAGCTCTATCTACAATATTCTCTTTTGTGAATATGCCACAATTTATCCATTCTCTTGTTTATTAACATTGAGGTAGTTTCCAATTTTTTCATGTCACAAACTCTGCTGCTCTGGATATTCTTACACACTTCTCCCTATTTACACGTTCCAGAATTTCTTGACAGGATGTGTCCTGTAAGGAACTGGTGGGTCGTAGGCTGTGCATACCTTCATCTTTAATAGTCATTGCCAAATTGTTTTCCAAAGTGGTTGTATTAATCGATATTCCTACGACAGTGCTTGAGAATTCCATTACTCCATATCTTGCCAACTTTTGGTAGTGTCAGACTATAAAGATGTTTTTCATTCTGATGGCTGAGAAATAGAGAAATAATATCCCATTGTGATTGCTATGTGCACGTCCCCAGTTACTAGTGCAGTTGTACATCTTTTCATACATTTGTTCACCATTCGTGATTCCTCTTCTACGGATCACTTATTCAGATATTTTGCACATTTTTCTATTGTTTGCCTTTTTCTTTTTATTATATTTTATATTTTGGATACTGATTCTGATTTTGTATTTTTATTATATATTTATATTATTTGTTATATTATCATATATTATATAATTTTGTTATTATACTTTATATAATTTTATTATATATTATATAATTATATATTATCATATTATTTTATTATATATTATATTATATACTGATACTGATTTTATATTTTGGATGCTGGTTCATTGTATATATTGCAAATATCTTCTCCCAGTTTTTGATTTATCTTTTCATTTTGTTTATACTGTCCTTTGCTGAACAGCAATTTAGATTTTATTTTAGTCAAACCTATATCCATGTTTTACTTTCTGGTTTATGCTTTTTTTGTCTTATTTAAGAAATCCTTCCTTTTCCCAAGGTCGTAAAGACATTTTCCTATATTTTTTTCCTAAAAGTTTGGAAATTTTGGTTTCCACATTTAGGTCTTGAATCCAAGTGCATTCATTTTGTGAATGGCATAAGATAGGGGTCGATTTTTATTTATTTCCCCATATGGACTACCAATTGTCCTAATGCCATTCAGTGAAAAAACCATTTCCTGTACTGTCACCACTTCTCTCATAAATCAAATTTCTGTATACATGGGGGCTAACTTCTTGAGTTGGACACCAAGATATTTTATTTTTGGTCTTTTTTCTTTTCTAATAAAACTGTTTAAGGCTACAAATTTCCCTCTATTGCTTTAGCTTAATGCCACATATTTAATATATATCATTTTTATTGTCATCCAGTTCTAGATATTTTATATAATTCTCATTTTTATTTCATTTTGACCTATGACTTATTTAGAAATGTTTTTTCTTATTTCCAAATGCACGTTTCCTTGTTTGTTTGTTTTTTTTTTTAATAGGAAATCATGTTTCTTTTTTTTTTTTAATAATTTTTTTTATTTATTTGTTTATTTTCCCCCAAAGCCCCAGTAGATAGTTGTATGTCGTAGTTGCACATCCTTCTAGTT